ACAAATGAGTGTGAGAGTGCAAGTACAACGAAACCATGGCCAGTGGTAGACTCGCGAGATAATAAATTACAACAAAATAGCAGTAAACCATAAACAAACACGTCGCACCCCAGTTTGAAGTAAGAATCAGATAGAATCAGATATCATTTGGTTCTTTTTTGGAAAAGTTTCAGAGATAGATGAACGAGGTTCAATAATCAGTGTCCGAATCCGATAGCTCACTACGAGTAGTAACCTCCGTGAGAGTCATCGAACGATGCTTCACAAGCCGTTGTATCTTTGGCGTAGGGGGCAGATAGGCGTTGAGACATGGTGATTTCTTCAAGTTCTCAATGTCCACCTGGATGATCTCACTACAGAACATATCGAGATCGAGGTCGTTCTCGTCGTAACCTGAATGAACAGGGTTAGTAAGCGTCAGAACGATGATGAGGTGAATACTAGATAGTAAGATTCTTACCGAATGGCTGCTCGATCTCCTCTCCAGCAGCAAGGAAACCGAGGTAGATGAAAGCTGCCAACGCAACACCTGGGATAGTGTGCCATTTAAATTCGGCTACTAGTTGGAAGGGCAAGAAGAAAAGATATATCCAGACGGTGCTGCAAAGATAATCTTAAGAAAGATCGTTCAGGGAAAGGAACCTAGTGTAGACCTACTGTTTGATGTGCACGGAGTATACGCTGGAGGTGGAGGTGAATCAGTATCTATCATTGATGGAACTAGTCTCGCACTCACAAAGGCAAAGGTGTAGTCAGGATCTGTTCAAGAGCTAGATAATGGGCAGTTGTGTTCAGTGGATCATCTACACGGATTGAGTCATCAACTTTACCAGCTAAAGTCGCTTCAAGAGAGGCAATGGTACCAATGATGGACCCTAAACTTGTACCTGTAAACCAAAATTCAGCATATCAACCGTCGCAAGCCACGAAACCACATACCAGGAACAGTATTCCTCTCCTCCAACACACTACACCACTCACTCATACACCTCAAAATCTCCAACGGCAAATTCTCCCCCCTTGTCGCCGCAGACACTCTATGCTTCTCCTTCCCAATCCTCGGTTGAATCGGCCCACTCCACTTCCTCTGACTCGCATCGTACCCCCAAGGATCCTTCATCCCAGATTCCAGATTCGAGATCTCCGAATACCCTTTCTTCCTCGAAAACAACCTCCTGATACTACCAAACAGACCCGCGAACGGAATGAGCTCCGTAGAGACATCGTTCATGATGTTTTGGTCATCGGGTTGTTGCGAGGGGGCAAGGACCTGGTGTTCACTGTGGAAGGATGATGTGGAGGGGACGCGGTGTATAGATCCTCGGGGGAGTCGGTGATAGGGAAGGTTCCGTACTTGCTCTCACTGATGTTTGGGTGTTCGGTGTGGTAATGGACACGGTGTTGCTTTTTGGGAGGTGAGGATTCTCTGCTGATACCCGCGGCTGCCGATTGAACTTGAGGAAGGGCAGGGCTAGATGCAATTCGCCGTGCTCGTCCGGGAGGAGAAAGATTAGAGGTCATCGCTGCTTGCTTCTGCTCTGCTGTGTGGTCATGCTGAAGAAGTCAACTAAACGTCGTATATCATTGAACCTCGGTGGTATACACTTACTTCATGCAAAGGACGGACAAGAGCGTAAAGATCCTCATAGTAAATCCCAACCTCGCCTAAACAACATAATTGAATACAATCACCAAAAAACCCACAATTAATCAGCATACCTCGTAGATGATGCTTCAACGCCACAGCGAATCCCAGAATCAAGTCAAGCGCCATCCGTTTCTCAGCCATCACCCGCGTCAGCTCCGAACTCGTGCGGTTCATCAGACCGGTAGAGATTTCCTCTGCGGTTCGGGGAGTCAACCGGGGAGGAACATGATACCAAACCAGACGCCCGAGTGAGCGTGAATGTTGTATCACGTCTGACCAGGCGGTTCGTCCTTGCCAGTAACGGTCGTATCCTGACATGGCCCTGTTAATTAACAGATAGGAGGTTAGAACTTACTTGCGATGCGATTTCACTGACACTGAGGGTATACCTGTAGGATAAGACAAAACCAAGGACAACACCTATGCGAGTACTAGGATTAACTTGGGTTGAAGATTATGAGGATATTCAGGAGGACGTACCAAGCACAGTCAACATGACATTAGGGATCGCTAAATGCTTCATCCCTCCCTTTTCCTCCAGAGTAACGATAGCTGTATAAACAATCAGTAATGACCTTCTCATGACATTGGAGCACCTACCAACAGCAAAGAGAGTTTGGAAAATCACAGCGGGCCATATCTTGTATATCTATGCAAATACTCGCGATCAGCATATATCCGCAAACAAAACAGCAAGATGCCTACCACTGTCCCCCTTCCAAAAGTCCAAGCAAGAAAACTATGTGCTGGAGCTTGTGTGATTTGAGCGAACGGGATATCCGGCTTGACTGCAGGAAGTAAATTTCTAGTAGTGGCAAAAGCCTGTTTGCCTTTTGAGTGAATGGAAGACATATTTGTCAATCGAGGATGAGAAAGAACAGAACAGAGAAGGAAAGATTCAAAAAAGTATCTCAAAGGGTTTCGAAGGAACGAAGTATTGGGTCAGTAGAGAATTAGGAAGGGAAAGGAAGGGAAGGAAAAAATGAAAAGAGCTAACTGATAGAAACGGAAAAGTAGAAATTTATATATACTTAGCAAGACCTCCAAGATAGGACGCTCGAGATATGTTAGAACTTAGGTGGCGGCACCTAGAGATTGATGCTTCAATAAGAGTTCCATGAAACATATGTGAAGGAAGATCGGAGAAAATAATGGAGCGATGTCATGTAGCAGGTTTTGATACCTACTAGTGCTAGTGAACGTTAACATTTGTGTCCTTGGATCAATGATGTTATTAGCATTCCTTGTATGCATTCGAAAGACGATAGTCATCCAAAAACCAAAGAGGCTGCTCCCTTCCCTAGCTTTCGGCGACGAAAGCATAGCAATAAGTCCTAGAACGAGATATAGAGCATAATTCATTTCATCGGGAAAGATTTTCATATGGTTGCACCGATCTGCCAGAAACAGTTGAATGAGCGCTGATGATACCGGTGTCAGAACTCACAGTGATACATACATTACTGCCTCCCATGAGCCTCATCCTGTCCACTGTCCAACCATAGTCTCCAGAATGACTGATCAAAACTCGAAACGTTCTTCCTAAGTCCTGACTGAACGTAGATCATCATGAGGATATCAATCTTGGGCGTTGCTGTACGGCTGATAGGACAGAAGATGACGAGAGGTACCAGTGTTTCCTCATATCAGAACAGGTGATATTCAATGGAAAGCTCTGTTGTTTGGAAACTCCGGTGAATCTCGGTGAGAAATCCAACTATCTCTCCAGGAAGATTGTATTTTTGGAATGCACGAGCGCGTGAAGGTACGCTAAAAAGGCTATTGCTGTGCGAAGCAAATCCATTGCATTCAGTGCGGGTAGCTTGAAGATATACGCTGATTCGACGTACCGATATTATAAACCAAAAAACGCTCTTTAACCCAGAGTGACCTTGGTCCTTCATCTATCCTCTGAGTCGCGAAGACTCATAGGAAGTCTGCCGAATGCGGGTGCTATTACTTGAGCTTCGAGGGATATATTGAGGATGCAAAGTCTGCATGCGTTGAGAACGAACTAGATTGAATACATTGAGTCAAATTCTGGGTTCGTTGAAGTTGTTTCTTGAATCTTATTCGTATTGCGCAAATGGCAGAGAAACGGGTCGTGTGAACAAATGTCGGCAAATACCTAAGTAGGAGTACGGCAACTCACCGGCAACTCAGTTCTCACCTTCTCTGCCACTTGACTCCGAGTCCTCACCAAGTCCAAATTTTACTCCGCAAAGCCTTCCGCGTCGTCTAGCACAATAATGGCTACAAATCGCATCATCCCGAAGTGGACACAATGGCCGGTATGCGTCAAAAACACCATGAACCTGAGCTCGTAAGGCCGACTTGTCCTAGGCCTTCTAATTAGAGGCCCTGGATGATAACTCTCCTCCATTGTCTTATTGTCTTTTTAGCACTCTGAGTACATTCCGGTTGGCTCCAACAGAGTCGTTGCAATCAACCCTCAATATATCTCCAGATTGTATGCACGAAAACACAATAGCAGAAACACTCGCTCCCTCTCGCTCCTTCAAGCGTATTGAACAAGCCCATCTACCGGCGCGGGGGAAGGATCAAGGAGGGTTAAATAAACATCGTCAAGTTCCTTTTTGTTCCTTACTGTCTCTCCTTATAAGCTGCTTACCTCTGGAGGAAGTAGCTCTTCACATTGCAATTTTTGCAAGTTACGAACCCGCGACGTTTTTATTCTCATACCAGCTCCGCCAGATCTCTCTTTCTCTCTATAATGGACTCCTTCCAATTCATCCTGTTCTTGAGCCCATCTACATCAGGACTTACGAATCCCTCGAAACCTGACGCCGTACGGGCTCGGTCAGAGTCGGGGTCAGCATCGGAAGATGCTCAAAACAATCCCACCGCGCTACCTGTTGACGAAGAGTCAAGCTCTAGCGCGACGAATAGCTTCTGCGTAATAGCATGAGCATGAGACGGTCAGAGCTCTGGTGAGATGCAAATAGTGGTATGTGGACTTGAAGATTGCTTATGCCTTCTTGATATCGTCGATGTTGATTCATTCTCTCACAGCATCATCTTCGTCTCATACGAGATAGAGTGCCTATCAGCGATTCTAGTTTGCGATGCGGACCACGAGTGCCTCTTTTGACTGTTCACGACACGATTTTGTATATTAGTGAAATTTTTGATTGATCCCAGTTTATGGGCTTTGGCTTCGAGGAGACTTACTTACCTTTCGTGCTTTCTTGGTTCTGATATTGCCTGTACATAGCAATGATGTTTGTATAGCCTCCCAAGTTCCAGCTTCCAAGGTGCCGTTGATGCTTGAAAACATTAGAAACGATTGCTAGAAACAGCCACATCTTGGTATCTGCTACAATTTGTGCAAGCATCAGTGGTCTAACGGTTATGATCCGGTCTTCCCATGTTACAAAACGCATACTCTTCTATGGCCGGGAAAGGGGTTCGACTCCCCTCTGATGCATTTTATTTTATTTTTGTTTCTTGCTGTGATCAACGCGACGAGTTTCAGGCAGTGCCATTCCACGTGTTCTCACTTTCTCGTCAAGCTACCTTCATGTCTAGCGAAGAATACTCTTCTTACATTGAGCAAGATATTCGTGATTCCACCAACGGAGACGGTCTTCCAACTTATGACGACCTTGCGGCTCAGAACGGACCCAATTCAAGGTCGGCTCGTTGCTTAACTATCTATCTAGACCTCATATTGATCTTTTGGACCCTCGCTAAATTAATCCTGATCAGATTTGGACGCTGGAGGGGATGGATAGAGAAAAGGTGCATTTGATAGATATGAACCGAACAGAACACCTATCTTCAATCTTTGTTCTTTTTGCTGTAGAGCAGCTGAGCGCTATGCGGATATATCACCTCAAGAACGCTCAAGACGGCGTGAACGAGGCTGGGGAAACGATGAGATTGTATGTACTCTCCAGTGACCTTCTATAACCATAACGCTAATCCTTCTCTGACTATTATAGTATGGCTCAGAACCTCCTGCCGAATATCCAGGTATTCCGACAATCATCAACGAACCACCTTCACCTTCCCCAATGTCTCTCCATATCCAAACAAACGATCTCCACAACCTCCATATATCCCAACCAGCCCAACACACTCTATCTCCACCACTTCCTCCGCTTCCTTCCGTGAGCTTAAAGCTTCAGCCTACCCATCTCAGAATGCATCAATTCGGATCGAGATTCCTCCCTCACACGACTTCCCCAATCCGCTGTGTGCTTTCGATTATGGAAGGAAAGTTGTTGTTGATTGGGCATGACGAAGGTCTTTCTGTGCTCGATATGTACCCGCTCTCCGAGTCCGCAGCAGGAATCACGGTTAAAGGACCCGAGGAAGCTCAGGCGCGCTCGATATGGACCGGCGAAGGGTACGGTGGCTTTTAGTGTTCTTCCTTCTCGAGCTTGCCTTGTACTCACTCTTATTAGAGTTTACCAAATGTCTCTTCTCGAGATGGAGCATGATGCCCGCGGGACTCCGCAGGGCGTCGTTTTGCTGCTTGTTGGGCCCGATGTGGATTCACCGTCAACGTCAAGTAAAGATCCTGAATCTCATAGGGTCCTTCGAATGTACAACCTGACTAGTTTGATCAGTTTGGCAAAGTGGGCGATTAATCAAAAGGTTTGGGCAGTTCTTCCATGTTTCCCGTTCAGTGGGCTCATTTGCATTGTCTGATTTTGCTGCAGGACGCACGTCCGTTGGATTTACGAAGGCCGTCTAACTGGCAATCTCAACAGCATTCACCCCCAAAAAAGCATCGTCCGCAGAACAGCATTGCCAGGGGGCTGAAAAATCTAATTGAGTCTCCCAATAATCATCATACTACACCCGAACACTCTCATTCTTCTTCGTATCAGTCGTTGCTTTCACCATCGCCCTCGATTGATGCAACGGCAAGTAGAAACAGAAGCCGGCCTAGCTCTCCCAGGGCAGACTCGTTTGATTCGTCGAGCTGGGATATGATCGATGAATTACCTCTCCGTTGGGCCACCGATTTCGTTCCATTAGCAACGCCAGGTTCTCGCCTCGCGACATCTTCTGTCTTATCATATGCCCTTTGGACGAATGACGAACGACTCGGAACTCGAGGAGGCAGGTTGCTCGCAATAGCAACAAAATCAAATATACTCCTGTACGAAACCCCGAAAGGTGAACGAGCCTTCCATTATTTGAAAGTAAGTGTCACGTACAAGCTATTCTATCTCCTGATAATCTCTCTGTCAAGTACATACGAACCTGACTTAAACCTCTTTCAGGAATTCTACACCCCGTTAGCTCCTCGTAGCATCACCTTCTTCCAGCAAAGTGTCTCCGACATTGCACGCTCATTCTCCGATTCAGGGTACAGGTCCTCGACTTCTCATAGACGTACGGATAGTTCCCTTTCTTCTCGCGACGTCCACCATCTTTCGAGTAATAACCCTTCCCTGAACATGACTTACGGAACCCAACTCAGTCTCTTCGTCATATTCGACAAGAAATCCGGCTGGATCCGTCTCGCAGATTCGGCCGTTGGCGAGGTGGACTTGCACGATGATGCCCAAAGTCAGTCTGGGCCTTCTTCTTCTTCTTCTTTCACCAGAGAAGGCTCCAGCCCGACTAGCCATCGTAAATCTCGGATGATGATGGACACGGCTTCGTTCGGGAAATGGATAGCTCCTGCGATATGTGAGCTGCCTATGCCGTTAGCTCCTTCTGGGCTGTCTTCACAGGCAACGATGAAAGTTATATTGCTCACGCGGGGTAGAAGAACACATATTCTTCCTAGTCCGTTGCCTTCGAATTCGTCCCTGCACGTTCCTCTCCGTGTTATTACTTGGAAGAATAACCCGACCGACATCATCGCTAGGATTTTCGAAGGTTCGGAACCCGATATGGATGGTTATTCCACTCCAGCCTATCTACAAATCATATCCCTAGGAGAACTCGGAGTGGAAGTACAAGAGATTTCGCTGCCTTCTCTTCTCACTAAGGGAAAGGGAAGAGCTCGCCCGGATGATAATCTGTACGCGGAACAAGATACAGGCGGAGATGCTGGCTTCTTGTGCACAGGTGGTCACTGGGATCGTCAACACACTTTTGCCACCAATCTCAATCGCTCTTACTCAACGTTGAGCACTAACACGAGCTTCAGCACAGATTCAACGCAGCTTGAACGCGAAAAAGGTATCTATTGTTGGTGTCGAAAGGGCTTGGAAGACTTCCGCGTCTTCTGGCTTGGAGGATCTCTGACAGCAGATTACGAGGATGAGGAACAATGAGCGACATCCATCGCAAAGGACATCATGTAGGATCTGTATACATCTCAATAATCTGTAAACATCGAAATCAAAATTGGACTGTGTTGTAAACAACAACTGCTTTAATAGTTTTTCTATTCAGGAATTTTATTGTCTAGTAATGTACAATGCGGGGGGCTATAAAGGTTTCCGAGCAGCGGAATTAAGAATCAAAGAGGGTGGAGGATAATGTAACGATAACATGCACGCAAAACAAAAAAGAGAACCAAACAAACGATTGTCCATAGAGATTGAGAGAAAATATTCATACAGTGCATAGGAGATCATCCAAAAAGACAGTAAATGCACCAGTGCGTTCGCAGGATTAGCAAGAGAGTGAGTAGGAAACAGTGATCAAGAAAACATGGTTCAAGTCCCGCTTCCGCTCACGTCCTTAGCGAACGAGACAGAGTTGGGTGTCGGTGTAGCAGGCGTTGATCCTGATCCACTGGCCACTTGAAGGGATCGAGCGGGAGACGTCTGCTGCTTCCGAATAACAACAAATGATTTTCCTGGCGTCGCCGAAGACGGAGGGTCCGGTGACAAATTAGCACTCTCAGCTGCTGCTGCTGCAGGAACGCCGTAACCTTCAGTACTATGAGCACGGCTCCTACGAAGGTGGTACCATTTCTTCTTCGAACGTCCATACGAACTATCATCGTCACTTTCGATAGTAGCACTTCTTCGTCGATAGGCAGTAGGGGGAGCTGGAGATGATCCACTGGACTCGAACCGGTTTGCGCGCGAAGGTGGACGAGATGTTCCGGCACTATTGGAAGCTGAAGAACCAGCAGGTTTATGTGTGGGTGGTGCAGGGTCCACATTTTCAATTATAGCCGTCTGAGACTTCTTTCGGACATGGTATGGTGCCATTGCGCCAGGGGGTAAACCACTTGGATCTTCGTACACTTGTCTTTGACCCAGGGCGATATTAGAAGAGACTGAAGGTGGAGGAGAATCATCGACTCTATGTCTAGACAAGCTGAGCTCCCCTACACTCCCGGTGGCGGCTTGACTAGCAGCTGCTCGATGTCCAATGGAAGGGAAGGTATGAGTAGAGGCTGTAGCTTGGTCCTGTGATATTGCATACGGAGAATCGATATGTGCTCTTCCTCCGCCTACGCGGGAAAAGCCGGAGCTTTTAGCAGCAGGAGGTGGAACAGCACTTGTCGAAGCTGTATCACCGACAGGAATATAGCCTGACGAACGATTCTGGAATGGCTGCCATGCACCCATGATGTAGCCTGTTTCGTCGTCGCTCTCTTCTCTGTATGGTCTCAACGCATGTTCTGGCTTCAAGACAGAGGGCGGAGGTCCACTATGAATAGAGCCCTTGCCATTCCCAGCCGCGATAGTAGGGGGAAAGGACAGCTCAGATTTAGGGGAACGAGGACCAGAATCGGCTTGAGTATAACCCGTCTTATCGGAAGACTTTCCGCTGCGTTTACCTCGACTCGAGCTTTTCCGAGGTCCTCCACAACACCCAAGTAAGCCACAAGCACCGAAGAGACCACTGTCAACGACGTGTCTCGAGCGGTCGAATGAGACGCCACCGACGATACGAACAATGGCTTCAATGACTTTGATAACGAGCATGAGTGCGAAGGATGCATAGATCAACGCAAGGATGATCAAAATTCCATAGGCCACCCAAGCATCTGGGCCTACTCCGACTGAGATCTGTGAATATATGTGTCAATTCATTGCTGAAGATAAGTAGGTTCTGGCCTAAACATACCGCAGGAGCTAGGATAACGAGTAGAACCGCAATAACAATCCTCGCTACGCAGAACAAGAAACTAATCAAGCCCATACTCGCCCCAGTGCCCCAAGGTAACCAGACACTGGTCACAAGCGCAGAAAGAACCTCGACCACCAAAATCACTATAGCTTGTGCCGTGCCGCTCTTCTGTCCAGCCCCAATGGTAACCCCGATCGCGATATTAGTCGCGAAAAGCAACGACGCAAACATCTGGGATCCATGACGATAATGATTGTACAGCGGACCCAGGAACAACAACGTTCGGGTTTCTTCGTACAGCTTGTTCGTCGTCGTCATTCGTACCCGGAGGACCAGTATGGCAGGAATTAGACATGATATGAGGGCAAACGAAAATGCAGCTAGGACCCTGGAGGTCAAAGAAGCTTTGGAAGACGGCTGGGTCAT